ACATATTGATTTCATTGGCTATCAATCCACTGAATATTTTTAAATTATTTACTTTAATAATAAAAAATGTAAAATGTTTACATTTACATTTATATTAATATTTTATTACATGTAAGTACATTGCTACTTTATACTTGTATTATATTTTTCGTTGTGGTCGATAATAAATTATTTTTGAAATGTTTTTATTTACTGTAACCTGTACTGTTAATTAAAAAATAGACTTTATATATCTAATCAACATAAACAAATTTTTTTAGTTTATTCCATTGGCTACCTAATTTTTATTTTTAGCAAGCTATTGAAATTTGAAATTAATTGCCACAGTGGCTTAGTTCACCCGAATACCTCCAAAATATTTTCGTTTCAAAGCCCGTTACAGTGGAAATATTTGATGAAGCACACTTTCCGATTACCTATTCTAGCTGAATAAACTTGACAGAAGTAAACAATCCCTGAGGGACAAACGTGACTGACCACCGACTACCAACTTCGTGGTGCATTATGGATACAAGATTGTAGGGTACTTATACAGTTTACAGATTTGCTAATCCCCGAACTCTATGGTAACACAATAAATGTACATACAACATGTATAAACTAAGCGAGAAGGGTATTGAAGTGTATATAATATGTATGCCAAGATAACTATAATAACACGTCGAAATAAAAATCAAACAACAGCGTAACGACCACATGCGCCTACAAGGCTTGTTATATGTGCTATTGTATATAGAGACTAATATAATAAGCCACAGGAGGTCGAGATAGAGCCAGTGGAGGGATGGATATTGGGCGAAGGTCAAAACCAGCCTGGGTAGAAATTTATACTTCGTTATATTGTTCTTCGTTTTCTGACCGTATCTAAAAATACATTGATACGATCTGACACACCATTTGTGTATGTATATCCTTGATCTTTTGAAACACTACAACTATACACTCCGTTTATACCATCATAAATTATACTCACCCCGTGCATTGTATAGTTGATGCTCAAAAACCGCCAATAGACGAATGGTCACGTAGAGTAAAAATATATACAAGTAACTACCTAAACACATGTTTTATTAACGCAAATATTATACGTACATGGGTATTAAGAAAAGAAAACAGCATGAAGACTGAACAGTTTCATGATATCAATAGAATTTATTTGAACGAAAGAAGTTCTGACGGGGGGGGGGGGGGGTAAAGGCACTCTATTATTCTTAACCATTGGTTATACCTACTGTATCTTATAATAACGATTGTATTGAATGTAACTAAATAATATTATTGTTGATGTTTAAAGTTATAGTTGGTATGCTATTTTATAGATCTGAAGAAAATATTTATAAAATATAGTGGTACCTAAAAGAAAAATAAAAACGATTAAATAATATAAAATTATATCATGTAACTCTAAAATTGTACCTGTCATATCTAATATATAAGTAATCCGTATTATACTAATATTATTTATTGATAATTAAAGTATTGTTATTTGTTATACAATTATAATTTATAAATAATAAGATACCTGCAGATTTCAAAAAAAATTACGTTTTAAATGTAATATTTAAAACATAAGTTATGTACAAATGTAAAATATTACGTATAACGATGTGCGTATTATGAATAATTCTTTCTAGATACCTATTTGTAGAAATACTTATGTCTTGTTCATTATTTTTCAAACTATTTTACGAACATCACATAATTCCACAATTAAATTAAATTAAAAAGAAATGATAAACTGTCTAGAATTATAAAGATAATTCTGAACAAAATCATTGATTGCTTTCAATTATTTATGAACTACTTTAAAATATAATATTTAAGTTTTTTACTTAATACTCTGAATCATAAACTAATATCTAATTGTAGTGAAAAACTGATTTTATCCTACGTTAAATATAGGTAATATATTTCCAGTTAATTATAAGTTGGATGTCTTATCGATAGAATTAAATAAAATGGTTTAATAATTTAACATGTACCTAAAATTATTTTATTTTTCATTAATTTATGCGTTAGAAATATTTAATTTAGCAGCTTAAGTGAAGAAGTGCCAATCCTGTAATGGTAATATTTATTTTGTTTTAATTGTCTGGTATTACCTTATTATAGATTATCATAATTAGTGTTAAAATGAAAGTATTATAAAAAAAAAGTAGAAGACTCTGCTATAGTACAGTAATGGCAAAAGAAATGAGAACATACACGAAATATTTTTAATAAAATCTCTTTTTCATTAATAGGTAACCAGTTAGTGATCGAGAATATTCTATAAACCATAATGAATTGGTTTCTTCGTTTTTAAATACATAAAGATACCTTTTTTTTTTTTGTATAACAGCGGGCATTTAATATTTCAATATGGCTGTCTCAATGCCCATATAGTGTAGTCCCAAAGACATACCTACCTACTTCAAAAAACACCTGTCGTCCTATTGTATTCAACATTCAACAATATAATATTTTTCGTTCTATTATAATACTTAAGTACACGCAGTTAAAAAGCTACTATAATTATTGGCCTTTATTTTAAATACAATTTTGTACCCCTTGAGTGACCGTTAGGAAATTTAAGTAGGTATCTAATAAAAGAATATTAAACTTTTTATCACAGTAACAATGATTATAATTTATAGTTCTGCTGGTATAAATACAATGTTATTTCGGTTTAAATACGCGTAATAATCTTATTTTATAAATGAAAACAACAATTATTTTTTTGGATCATTGCAAAATATTGTATTGAGAATAATAAAAAATAAAAATCTATTATTAAACTTAGTAAATATACGTACATAATAAAATCTTAAACAAATTAACGAAAAAAAACATATTAGAATCAGTCTAAGATTATCGAGGAGTTTTGATTATCTTCTTTTTAGAATTCATTTTCAGCCATAAGTACATTCATATTTCATATTTTCTCGTCCCCAAATACAGTAAAAATGTAAATAATTCTAAAATCACTTTCTACTATATTTCGCTGCACAGCTATCAATCGTAACGAGGGCTGTTGAGCTGTACCAAATGTTTTATTGTATGATATTGATTCTTTTTTTTATTTGTGTTCAGTAAATTCATATTTTAGTGATTTCAATACAATATGTTGTGTTTATTTGGAATCCTATTTTATTTGTTTATCTTACCAATCTTTTTTATGTCGTTGCCAACAACTCGTAGGTATAAATAATATTATTTGTATTTTGATTTTAGGCATTTGAAAAATATGTGCTTGTTTGAACAAAAATTGCATTTGACTTTTATTATTTGTGGAAAGACTTATACATTTGAATATTTTTCTGGTCGATTACACAGTATGCTTGATATACCTAAAACTTATCAGCATGAATTAAATTTAAGAACGTGTGGTATATAAATTTGAAATTATTTTTGACTAATCTTGTGTTTTTATAAATATTTCGTAATATCGATCACAAACATATAGGTAATAGGTATCTATTTAATATCTCCATTATTTGAATTGTAGGTTAAATACGAAATTTTCAATTCAAATAGAATAAGATGATTTCAATTTTAGATTTTTGAACGGTGCAAGAAATGTAATCTCTTTAAAATAATGTGAACTTTTTATATTTTTTTGAATTATTATTACTTATTTTATCTTTCATTGCCTTTTAGTGTAGTAAAAATCTAAATTTTCATTTTTAAGATAGCAAATTAGACCTAGTTAGTACTTTGGTGGTCAAAAAAATGAAATCCCTAAATACTAA